TTCATTCTCTTCTTTTTCATTATTTGCTTTTTTGCCATATAAATCAAAATCGAATAAATATAAAATGAAAATAGATATAAATGATAATAATATAAAAGATGAATAAACACATAAACAAATACAACTAAATAGAAAAGAATATTAATAAAAAGGTATAAAGAATATAAAAAGAAAAATAATAAAATAAGAATAATATAATAATATATAGATAAATAGAGAAATAAATATATGAAAATAAGCTACATAAATAACATAATAATAAAATGATAAAAATAATTAATTATGATTAATCAAATCATCTATTTCATTAATATTTCATACAAAATGAATAGAAATGATCATAAAATATAAACATAAATATTTACATATTCTGTATTTATCATATTTTTTTTATTTTTGTTACTTTTTAGGAGCAAAATATAATAAAATGTATTAATCTATTGATGCAAATTATTTTATACGACTAAAAAGATTATTTGATAAAGAAATACAATAAATAAAAACTTTCGTAAAGAATGAGAATTAAACAAAAATAATATTATTTAATTTTTAATTAAATAAACTTGATTTGTGAAATAATTTAACTGATTATGTTTTATTTTTATTTAGAATGAATTGAATTTTCTTATTGTTTATTAGCAATAACTTAGTATTAAATAAAAAGTATTTATTATTTTGTATGTCATAAAAACAAAGAATTAAAAATAAACTTCTTTTCTTTATTGATATATTTTATAAAACTTTCAGAACAATAAATCTTGTACTTAAAAAGTTTATTTATAATTACAAAAATAAAATATCTATAAATAAAATTTAATTGTTAACTATAGTAATTTTTTATTTTCTACCTTTATTATGGATAAGAAATTTAAATTATGAAATTAACGATGAAGTAGATTATATACAATCCAATTAGTCTAAATTTTGATATATTTAAATCACTTATATATTACTTTTTGTATATTTGTAGGACATTAGTTATGTTATTCGATTAAATAATATTTTTATGGCAAACAATAAATAATGATAGAAATATTTATCCCAACTAAAGACTTTATTTCTATAATATTCTTTTAAATATTTATTATTTAACATCAATAAAAAAGAGACTAAAGTCAAATAACTTCATTTAGAAGATGATAGCTATAATGATAGCACAGAAAACAATGAATGGACTTGATGCAGCATCAAGGTTATTATTATCGTTATCTGAACTACTTCCTGATTTATCATTTGAATTACTAGTTGAGCTTGCTTCTGGTTTATTAGTTGAGCTTGCTTCTGGTTTATTAGTTGAGCTTGCTTCTGGTTTATTAGTTGAGCTTGCTTCTGGTTTATTAGTTGAGCTTGCTTCTGGTTTATTATCTGGTTTATCACTTGAGCTTGCTTCTGGTTTATTATCTGGTTTATCACTTGAGCTTGCTTCTGGTTTATTATCTGGTTTATCACTTGAACTTGCTTCTGGTTTATTATCTGGTTTATCACTTGAACTTGCTTCTGGTTTATTATCTGGTTTATCACTTGAACTTGCTTCTGGTTTATCACTTGAACTTGCTTCTGGTTTATTATCTGGTTTATCACTTGAGCTTGATTCTGAGTTATCACTTGAACTTGCTTTTTCATCTTCATCATCTTCATTATCTTCATTTGAACTTGATTCTGGTTTTGCTGAGCTACTTTTTTCTTTTTCTTCAGCTTCTTCAAGCTTTTCAGGACTAGCTTCGTTCTTTAAAAATACACCGTAGATATTAGTATCTTTTACTTCTTGATCCAAATCAAGAATGATATTAGTTGCACTAGTGAATGCAATAAACAATAAAAATGCGAACATTGAATATGTTTTTTTTCAGAACTTCATTTTAAATATACCACATTTCATCGATATTATGTTCCACTCAATATTCTTTTATTTGAGTTGAAATTAATACACTCTCTTCTTTTATCTTTTAACTTTTTCTTATTGCCTCACAAAGAATTCCAAGTTATTAACAAAGTCTTACTAAAGAGAAAAGTTTTCAATTATTTTATTAGCATATTTTTATTATTATAGAACTAAGTTGAATGCAAGAATTTAAGTTGAATTGAGTTAACTTGAATATTTCAAATTTAGATTTACTTGATTGTTTTGTTATTTTTAGATATTCTAAATAAGGAATATTTTCCTATAATAAACAATATCTTATTTTGATTACTTCCATATTAAATATAATATTTTCATACCCCTTTAACACTAATATTATTATTCCTTTCTGGAATTCTCAAATATCATGTCAAAGAAAAAATGTATTAACCGAAATATCTAAAAATAAACAAATAAAATAATTATAAGACTTCAACATTTTGAAAAGTTATGTAGATGTTGTTTGTTTTAATAGTTTTGTTATTTCTTTGATTGAATTGTT